CTCTGCTGGGACTGCCATAACAAAATACCATAGACTGGTTAGCTTAAACAACAGAAATTTACTTTCTCACAGTTCTGAATGCTGGAAGTGCAAGATGAAGGTGTCAACAGGCTTGGTTTCTCCCGAGGCCTCTCTCCTTGGCTTGCATATGGCCATTTTCTCGCTGTGTCCTCACATGGCCTCTTCTCCCTGTGGGCTCACTCCTTGGGTCTATTCCTCTTCTTATAAGGAAACCAGTCCTAATGGAGTAGGGCCTCACCTTTATGACCTCATTTAACCTTAATTACCTCTGTAAACGTCCTATTTACAAATACAGTCACTTGGGGGTTAGGGCTTCAAAATATGATAAGTACTATGTTAATAAGTGTTAGTGGTAATGAAAAGCAAATGAGTCACTAAAGTTGAGTAATAAAGAGGAAAAGAGCATCTAACTATTTGAAAGTATCTTCCAGGTGCCAGTGGCTCATAAAAATTTCTAAAAGTGACTTTTATAAAAACATAATTTCCAGGGACCCGGCCCCGTGGCGTAGCGGTTAAGTGTGCGAGCTCCGCTGCTGGTGGCCCAGTTTCGGATCCCGGGCGCGCACCCATGCACCGCTTGTCAGGCCATGCTGTGGCGGCGTCCCATATAAAGTGGAGGAAGATGGACATGGATGTTAGCCCAGGGCCAGTCTTCCTCAGCAAAAAGAGGAGGATTGGCAGATGTTAGCTCAGGGCTGATCTTCCTCACAAAAAAAAAAAACAACATAATTTCCAAAAGCTGCCCACTAAATACTGTAAATGCATTACTTTTAAGTAACATTAATGCATTACTTTTGTGTGTGTGTGTGTGTGTGAGGAAGATCAGCCCTGAGCTAACATCCATGCTAATCCTCCTCTTTTTGCTGAGGAAGACTGGCTCTGAGCTAACATCTATTGCCAATCCTCCTCCATTTTTTTCCCCCCCAAAGCCCCAGTAGATAGTTGCATGTTATAGCTACACATCCTTCTAGTTGCTGTTATGTGGGACACGGCCTCAGCATAGCCAGACAAGCGGTGAATCAGTGCGCGCCCGGGATCCGAACCCGGGCTGCCAGTAGCAGAGCGCATGCACTTAACCGCTAAGCCATGGGGCTGGCCCAATGCATTACTTTTAAGTAACAAAAAAGCTTTCAATTAAAACAAATGCTAAAAGCTGCTAAAATGTAGCGTTTAATGAAATAAATGTGTTTCAGTTGAATACTTCGCACTTCCTATCATAAGCAATGCTGATTATTTATCCCACCTGATTAAACTCTCAGGACCCATCATCTCCTTGATGTATAGTTCTGATCATTCTGACTGTTGAAGTGTCCTCCGATACCCGGCAGAGAAAGCCTTCACCTAGCTTCTCGGCTGCTTTTCTCTCCACTCTCCCCATCACACACTGTACCACAAAGACATTGACCTTCCTTCAGTTCTCTGAATTGCACATGTGCCTTTCCAACTCAGAGTATTCCCAGGTCCTTTTTTCTTCAACCGAAACATCTTTTTCCCACTCTGCTTTGTAATTTGAAATAAATCTTGGGCCAGCCCCGTGGCTTTGCGGGTAAGTGCGCACGCTCTGCTACTGGCGGCCTGGGTTCGGATCCCGGGCGCACGACGCACCGCTTCTCGGGCCATGCTGAGGCTGAGTCCCACATGCAGCAACTAGAAGGATGTGCAACTATGATGTACAACTATCTACTGGGGCTTTGGGGGAAAAAAAAAAAGGAGGAGGATTGGCAATAGATGTTAGCTCAGGGCTGATCTTCCTCACAAAAAAAAAAAAAAGAAGAAAGAAATCTTTTAGGTATCAGTATGAATTTCTAATCACAAGTAAGTTTCTTCTTCAACCTCCTTAACTTTGAATATTCCTATATATAGTATCATAAAATTCTCTGAATCTCTAGTAAATAACATTATACAATTTACAAAATTATGTTTGAATAATTATGAGTAGCTTTCATGTTTTTATATGCTATAAGCAATACAAAGTGCAGTTATTATCGTTCTTATTCAATTTTGAATCAAAATGTCCTGGATGATTAAACAGTGTAAAATGTGAGCCTACAAATACATAATGTTGATTAAATAAGAGGTGAGATGTTCTAGAGGGAACTTATAGTCCAGAGACTACAGTTGGAAACTTTACTTTCCTTGCCCAGCAGGCAAAGCAGAACTGAGAGGCACGGATGTCACTGCCAAAGAGCACGAAGGGATGAATGTCCGGGAGCCCAAAGACACCAGAGCAGAGGTGTTCATTAGACCATGGCGTGGGTTCATAATCAGGGTTATCCAAAAAGATAAAATAGGAGAGAGAGTAAAAGGAGATAAACATATTCACCAGAATGAGACGGTGACATGGCTTTTGTCTCACCAGGGTGAGAATGGCGCCTTGGTCTCATGCGAAAGTCTCAGGGAAAGCTGTTGCTATGAACGTGTTGGACTCGCCGCTAATGTCTGTGCAGAACAAGTCCATCTTCTCCTGCCGTCGGACATGGGAGCTCCTGGATCTCAGTCCTCTGGACACTGGGATTTACAACAGCAGACCCTTCATTCTCAGGCCTTCGGACTTGGACTGAATTAGAGCACCAGTTTTCCTGGTTCTCCAGCTTGCAGCCAGCTGACTGGAGGACTTCTTAGCCTCCATAACCATGTGAGCCAATTCCTATAATAAATGTTCTCTTATATATATCTATATATCCTATTGGCTCTTTTTCTTTGGAGAACCCTAATACAGATAATATAAATTCCCCATGTAGAACAGTCCCTGCAATCACAAAAGAAATGATACTTCCCGGCAATGAGATAAAATCACGGATTTACGATATTCCCAATATTTCAGGATCCAGAGCACCACTGACATATATGCTCTACTTTGAACACTGCAGCCATTGCCCTATACCAAAACAGCGTGTGTTTCCATGTTCCCCTTTTGAGCTTGATGTTGTCAAAGACAAACACAGCCAGACATTAGTTAAAGAGGTAAAAACATATTTTATTCAGTAACTACTGACAGTAGGGCAAAGAGTTGAACTCCATTCTGATTTGTGCAGAGGTGATCAAGCGATTCTCCAATCAAGCCGGAGAATGAGGGGCCGGCCCGGTGGCAGAGTAGTTAAGTTTGAGCTGTGCTTCAGTGGCCCAGGGTTCCCAGGTTCAGATCCCAGGTGCAGACTTACACATCGCTCATCAAGCCATGCTGTGGTGGTGTCCCATATACACAGTAGAGGAAGAGGGGCACAGATGTTAGCTCAGGGCCAATCTTCCTCACCAAAAAAATTAATTAATTAATTAAATAAGGGAGGATAAGGGAGCAGGGAGAACGGGGATTCAGCAAAGTCACAAAACTGAAAAATTACAAAGGGTTGGTCAATGTAAATGTGATTAGTGCAGCTGTGTTTGCTGGCGGTAGTTACGGAAGTTACAATTCTATCCTTCCACAGACACTGGGAGATAGAGGCCTTATCCTTCCTCAAGATTACGTTTCAAAGGAATAGATCGTAGGTCCTTGAGAAAGACACCTGTTTTTTTTTGTGTGAGGAAGATTAGCCCTGAGCTAACATCTGTCACCAATCCTCCTCTTTTTGCTGAGGAAGATTGGCCCTGGGCTAACATCCGTGCCCATCTTCCTCTACTTTATATGGGACACCACCACAGCATGGCTTGACAAGCAGTGTGTTGGTACGCGCCCGGGATTTGAACCTGCGAACCCTGGGCCACCGAAGCAGAGCGCGCACACTTAACCGCTAGGCCACTGGGCAAGCCGCTGAGAAACACACTTCTGAAGTGGAAGAGATATATATTTACAATTGTAAGCCTTTTTCAGTAAAGGCTCAAAGAAAAAGAGGTCAGGGGTCTATCATCAGGCTTAGCTAGAACAAATAGTAAATTCTCCTGGTAGCCTTGAGCTTTCTCAGTCTGGCATTTTAACGGAGGCTGAGGTCAATGGAGGGCTGGAGTTATCCAAGGGACTAGGCCTTATGCTGCTAGAAGGCATCCTAGAATTTGGTCAAGTCTCTCAGTGCCGGGTTTGGACAGAGTTCTGTGCTGAGCTCAGTTCTCAATGTCACATTCCTAAATGGATACAAATGCTGCTCACTGAAATAGACACAGTAATTGACTACACAGACAGGAGGAATGTTTCACGCGGGAACCACAGACAAATATCCATCTTGGTACTCCCGTTTCATGGTCGCCCAATCTCTCTCCTCTGTCTTCCCTGTCATGGCACTATTTGGAGTATTTTTTTTTCCTCTCCCTGACAGGATGTATACAGGTTGATAAAACTTACTCCAAGTTTTCAGCATGCATGCATTTGAATTGCAGTATGTTTAGTAGGCGCTTCCAGTGGACGCATATTGTATCTGAAGGACTGCATGGAATGATATGTGCATTTGGATTTGTAGGCGTTGGGAGCATCTGAAATAATATTTTTACCCTCGGGAGCTTGCTGAGCTTCACGGTGTCTGATATAATTCATCTACAAACAAGTGGGTGATCAGTTACCACGACACTCCCAAAACACCTGAATACGAGCCCTTTAAGAACTGGAGCCGCGCCTCCAGAACCCTTGGCCCAGACTCGCCAATTCCCTCCAGGTGGAACCTGGCCGTTTCTCCAGGAGTCCGGCAGGGAGCATCTTTACCCGCGGCCTGTGTATGTGGCAACTACATTACCCAGAAATCTAAGCATCAGGCGACGGCGTCGTTGAGCCAATGAAGTCTCAGAAAAGAGGCGCGTCTCCGTGCGTCACAAAATGAGAGGGAGGAAATTCCGGTGTCCTCCTCCCGGTCACTTTGGCTGCTCTCCCGACCACAGATGAACAGTCTGAGTGCTGTTTCCAGACCAAGGTGCTGGGACCGACAAGGCGCGAGAGGAGGCGGTGTCCCCACTGCACAGCACGGGTCTGAGGCTCCGCGACGCCGCGGGGGAGACCCACGCCAGGGCCGGAGAACTTGACACTTATCACCTCCCTGGGTAAGCCCTCACACCCACCTCTGTGCTCTGACCTAGCCTCTATCGTTTTCCTTTTCCCCAGGGGCAGCTACGTCCTCCTCCCATCAGGACCAACGTGTCTGCTTCCTTCTCCAGTTAACTTAGGTAGGCGCTGTGGTTGGTACAGTTGAGGTATGTGCACTGGCCTTGAGCAGGCCCAACACCTGCTTCCCTACACTCCTGCAGGGAAGGATTCAGGGTCAGACATCTTGCATTCAGCCAAATGAATCCATCCTTGCTTGCCCTCTCCCTGGCTGGGTCACTTTGTCCAGAAATAGGGCACTTGTGTGCCCCAGGTTGTAATTCCTTCCTCTAATTGACATTTCCTAATACCTCCCTATGCCAGGATTTGCCACCACTGACATAGTCAATACTTAATTGCACCATGGGCTCTTCTTGCAAGACCTTCCTCTGGAGTTCTCTTGGTGATAGTTTTCTTTCATGTGGGCTGTCATGTCCCGAGCTGGTCTTGGCCAGTGCTAGCTGCTCTTCTGTCTTTCCCTTAATGATTACATCATCCAAGTACCATGTAGATAATCATCTTGGTGGTGTGATGGAGGGCCCTTAGTGGTTCACAAGATGGATATGAATCTAGCCACAGCAAGATGGGGTCAGAAGGAGCCTGGCCCTGAGGAGAGGCACCTGAAGGAGAATATGACATCAAGACTGTGTACAAATCATACCAGAAGCCTATTCTGTTTGACTAGTGTTTTGGTGCCATCACCATGCCCACACTCCATTTTTGCCTTTCCTTCTGCATTCTTGACACTTTGCTGACTTGTCAGTTCTATTGCTAGTCACTTCTACTTTTTTTTTTTGAGGAAGATTGGCCCTGTGGTAACATCTGTTGCCCATCTCCCTCGTTTTTTTTTTCTGCCCAAAGCCCCAGTACATAGTTGTGTATGATAGTTGTAGAGTTGTAGCTCTTCTATGTGGGACACCGAGTCAGCATGGCTTGATGAGTGGTGAGTAGGTCGGCGCTCAGGATCCAAACCGGGGAACCCTGGGCCATCGAAGCAGAATGCGCGCACTTCACCGCTGCGCCACCGGACTGGCCCCAACTACTCTTACTTCCAGTCTAGGGCTAATCCTCATGTCTTTGGACTCTGCGTCTCACCCGTCTTTCTCCCTGTTCCATCTGCAGTGCTCTCCAACATTAATCTCTACATGTTGTCATGAAGTGTGCACATATCCTTAAACAGTCCTTGAACACCAGCTGCTCTGTTGCAGTCAAATTTGCTGGTACCTGGACATGCCCTTCAGCACGGTGCTCACATGTGAACAGCAGACAAAATCCTGCTGAATGCTGTTTGCAGAGGAGCGAATAGTAAACCATACCTCTCCTCCCTGTGTCACACCCCATGGTTGATGGTTGTATCTTTCACCTTGGGAGGCTTCCCCCATCTTTATAGGGCTGTACTACTACTGCAGCCCAACACTCCCCTTGAACCTACTCCCTGCTCCTGGAAACAACCCACGGACTCATTCCTGGGTTTGTCAGACACACACTTGTATGCAGGTCACCCCCTCCAACGTCAACATGCACTTTACCAGCATTTCCCTGCTTTCAGGTTGTTGGCATGGAGTGGAGGATGAGAGTGTTTTGAGCAGAGTGTTTCCGTACAGGGAGTGTTGCATGGGACTCCTAAGACTGCTCCATCTCCCCAGAAAGCCCACCCCTGTGAGATTTGTGGCCTAGTCTTGAGAAACATTTTGTGCTTAGATGACCACCAAGGAACACATCGTGGGCAGAAACTATACATATGTGGGCATGTGAGAAATGATTCTATTTCACTGCAAACCTTCATCAGCACCAGAAGCAGCACATTAGAAACACTTCAGAAGTAAGGTATGGAGAGCCCTGTTTTTGAAGAGGTGCAAATTCCATGTATCACAGAAGCACTTTGCCTACAGGGAGGTTGCAAAGGACATCTTGACCAGCTTGGGGTTTCTCCAGCAACAGACCCCTAACACTAGAGAGAAGTCAAACTGTGGACTGAGTGTAGCACAGCCTTTCACAGGATAAAAACTCATTGCAACTGGGGAGATTGCAAAAACTCTCAGCCACACACACTTGTTCAGCACCAGAGAGACTTCACTAGAGAAAGATGTTATATGTGCAGTGTATGTAGGAAGTCTTTTAGCAAAAGCTGTAATCTCATTGTCCCTTGGAGAGTTCACACTGGAGAAAAGCCTTATGAGTGTGGGGAATGTGGGAAATCCTTTAACCACAGATCTAACCTCATTAAACACCAGACAGTTCACAGTGGAGAAAGTGTAGTGTAGTGAGTGTGGGAAATTCTTTGCCTACAGCTATAGTCTCCTCCAAAATCAGAGGAGACTCAAGTAAGACCTCACAAGTGTGATGATTGTGGCAAATTATACAGCACTAAATATAGCCTCATTAAACATTGGAGAGTTCACACTAGAAAAGGGCCATATGAGTGTAATGAGTATGGGAAATCATTTAGTCAGTCCTCCAGCCTCATAAAACACTGGAGAGTTCACAGTAAAGGCCTTACAAATGCAAAAAATGTGGAAAATTCTTTTGCATATTATTTGTGCTCCTTCAACATCAGAGAATTCACACTGGGGAAAGACCTTATGAGTGCATTGAGTGTGGGAAATTCTTTGCCTACAGCTCCAGTCTGTTCCATCACCAGTGCGTTCACAATCGAGTAAGAACTCACAAGTGTGATATATGTGGCAAATTATATAGCACAAAGGACAGCCTCATTAAACATTACAGAGTTCACACTGGAGAAAGTCCTTATGTGTGCAGTGAATGTGGAAAATCATTTAGTCAATCTTCCAACCTAACTGAACACCAGAGAATGCATCCTGGAGAAAGACCTGACAAATGCAATGAGTGTGGGAAATTTGCAGATTTTTGCTCCTAGAACATCACAAGAGTTCACACTGGAGAAAGGCCCTATGAGTGCAGTGAATGTTGGAAATCCTTTGCCTACAACTCCAGTTTCCTAAGACATCAGAATGTTCACATGGGGTGAAGGCCTTCACCTAAGACAGTACCGTGTTATAGACTGAATTATTTCACCCCTACCTCTACCCCACCATTCTTGTTTGAAGCCTTAACGCCCAATTTGACTACATTTGGCGATAGGGCCCTAAAGGTGGTAATTAAGGTTAAATGAGGCCTGATGTGATAAGACTAGCATCCTTATGAGAAGAGGAAGAGACATCAGAGGCCTCTCTCTCTCTATGCATGTATGCATAGAGGAATCTGATCTGGAAGCTAGAACACCAAGATCAAGGTGCCATGAGGGGGCCATCAAGGTTGATTTCTCCTGAGGCATCTCTCCTTTGCTTGCAGATGGCCACCTTCTGGCTGTGTCCTCAAATGGCCTTTTCTCTGTGCGTGTGCTTCCCTGGTGTCTTTTCCTTTAATTATAAAAACAGCAGTTATATTGTATTAAAGCTTCACCCTTATGATCTCATTTAACTTTAACTGTCTCTTTAAATGCACTAACTCCAAATACAGTCGTATTAGGATTAAGGCTTCATATGTGAATTTCGAGGGGACACTGATCAGTATATAACAATTGTTTTTGTGTACTGAAGGATATAGCCTCAATGTTTTGTGCTATTCATAATGTAACAGCCACAGACACTATATACTTTTTAGTATAATCTGCTTTCTTAACACATTGTTCATCACTTTCTAAAGTCTAGACATTCAATAAAACAAGCAAGCACTGGTTTGTAGTGATTGTCAATTTTCCTGGGGTAAATACTCCTTCCATGGCCAATTTCAAGCTGCCAAAATGATGTCAGTGTAAATGGAGCTGGGAGAGATGTGCAGTAGCACAACATTACATTCTGTTCCCACGTGCGGATTCAGTAGTAATAAATAGCCTCAAGGACATAGGTAATGGCAAAACCTGGTAACATAATTAGGCAGTGACAAATGTTGAGAATCACCTTTGCTTTTTTAACAGCTATTGAAATACGGTCACTTATTATTCACGGTAGCTATGTTTTCTAAAGCCACTGTTGTTATGGTAGTTATGATCTCTAAAGCAGTGGTTTCGTATGCACTAATTCAGTGTTTGTAATACTGAATTTTTGCATACAAAACCATTGCTCCTAGAGGAAATACAGGTTTAGGTTCCTTACAGCCTCAGTCACAACATTTTTGTCCACTGATCAATACATAACATTGTTTCATGTATATTTTTGTTTAAAGACACCTTATTTGCTGTCAGTTGATTTATTAACATAGGACTTGCAGCCAACAGCACTGTAACTCATGCCTGAACAAAACTTATCTAACACACATACGTTCTTTCTAAGGCACATCACAGCCTTGTGCTTAGGAATACTAGACAGCACATAAGCACTACATTTCAGGGCCATTTTAAACAGTAGAATAACCAATAAAAAGTACAAACGTGGCACTAAGTAGACCACAGAAAGGACACTTGTTTATGACAGCTGAAAGCAGAAGAGAACCAACCTTAGCTGTGACCATTACTAATTTTATTCTCTTTAAACTGACACACACACTTTTTGCCTTAAATACAATGTATTCTAAAAAGCATATTTGTCTCTCCCCTAACTAGGAAAACCAGTTCAACTTGACAAAAGGAAGTTTATCATGAAAATAAAAACATGAAATCAAAATACTGCTCTGAATCCCAAGGAGCTCCCAGGTCCTGCTCAGGGCTGCTCTCTCTGATAAAAAAGGGAAATTAGTAACAGGGGGACATTACAGATGCAGCACGACTCCAAGACTTTGTCCTGACAACACTCAGAAGGAAAAAGAAAGGAAGAAGGACCAGCTTTTTCAGAGTGTCAATGCATGCCACCTGATACCATTACTGTGTGCCATCTAAAATCATCTCCTAGACCAGTGCAGGAGCTGGGCCCAGGCCTTCGGAAACAAGGGACGATGGTGCAGCCCTCAAGGGCATTTTTACTGAGATTGTGTTGTTCAGGAAGGTATGTAGGGAGCACCATGGCAAATGTCTTTCCAGGGGTGCTGCCTGACTTACCCTCTCTTCTGAGAACAGCCCCTCACCCACGACCCTGCTACGGGGCTGTGGGGACACTTGGCCCAACCAGGCTGAGTCAGTCAGCTTCCCTCCTGTGGAATCTGGAATAAGGAGCTCAGACTGAGGCCCAAATGTGCTGGGCACAAGGGTGAAGGTTTGTGTTTAGAAAGACAATGTTTCTCCCCAAAGATACCTAATTTAGACATAGGGAGACTGGAAAGGAGGAAATCGGTCTAGAACACGGTGAGAGGTAGAGGGAGGAAGAAGGGTGAGTTTCACTGGTCTTCGTACCAGCGAGGCCTGTTTGAGAGGGCAGAATCAAGGAGGCTGTGGATCCCCTGCGTGGAGAGGGGAGCCCTTACCCAGTGAGACCAGGAGTGAACAGGCCTCCGGCATCACCTGCAAATACAGAATGCCTGAGCTTTGTGTTGGGCTCAAAGGGGAAGAGAACGTGGCCTTTGGTCATAACATAATTGTGTCTGACAGAAAAGCCTCCCATGGATGAAGCCACTGGAGAAACAATCAGTGGGATTCTCTTGAGAACTTGGGGGCAGACGGTAAGTGCTCTCGGCCATCAGAGGAATGGGGGAAAATGATCATGACAGTAACTCCAACAATAAAAACAGC